TGAGGAAAAGAACCCACTGATCCATTCTGATAACATCCCTCCCTTTCACAACTGGTAACATCTCTCTGTAACTCTCACTTTCAAAATAAATAAATAAATTTAGAAAAAAAAATGAGTTGTCAAATCCCCAGACTATAAGTCTTCAAGATGCAAGAACCCTATTTTCCTCCATATCACATACATTTTCTAAGATGTTGGCAGCATTCTGTACTCTGTGGAGTACCCAGTACCTTTAGTTCGATGTTGCTGACAAGACCTAAAACGTAATCTCTTAAAATCCTACCATTAAAACGTAGCAAAACTGAAGGAAAAAAATGAAAGAAAAAGGCACATGTTCACTGAGGTGAAAAACTGGAATCCTCTTAAATGTCCTTCAGGGAACCAGGTAAGTAATTTTTTACATATCCATTCTCAAAGAATGCAATTTAACCAGAAAGCAGAAGAGGCACTAGTACATGAAATAACACGGATAAACCTTGCAAACATGATAAGGGGGAGAAAAAAGACACAAAAGACCACATATTGTACAGTGCCAGTTATATGAAATGTCCATACTAGGTAAATGAATAGAGGTGAGTCATTTCTATAGAGAGGGAGAAGGTAGGCGGGAGCAATGAGGAGTGATCTCTATTTTTCATAAGATTTCTTTTTCAGTGATGAAAATGTCCTGAAATGAGACAGTGATGATAGTGGCACAACCATGTGAATATATTAAAAATCGCTAAATTGCACATTTCAAATGGGTGAATCTTATGCTGTATGGAATTTCATCTAAAACAGAATAAAAGACGGAGAAATATTTACAAAATGTAATATGTATACACTGCATAATGAATACATTTATTATGTGATAAATGCATATAATTTATGTTAAGAAAATAAATCAGAAGAAAATGGAACAAGATGTTAGTGGTGAGTTTCCTTACAGCTTATATATTTTTAAAAATATTATTTATTTGTAAGTCAGATTTACAGAAAGACAAGATGGTATGGGGTGGGGCAGCGGGGTCTTCTAACTACTGGTTCATTCCTCAAGTGGCTGTAATGGCCAGAGCTGAGCCAGGCCTAAGCCAAGAGCCAGGAGCTTCATCAAGGTCCCCAACGTGTGTGTGGCCCCAAGCTCTTGGGCCATCCTCCAATGCTTCTTCCAAGTTCATTAGCAGGAAGCTAGATCAGAACTGGGGCAGCCTGAACATGAATTACAACCCACATGGGATACCAATGTCCCTACTCAGGATGCTGGTGCCCCAGGCAACAGCTTTACCCCCTATACTACATCAGCCCCATAGCCTGTATTTTGTATTTGTTTTTCTAAACACTGTATGTGTTTTCTAAAGTCTCTAAAATTTAGTACATATTATTTGGGCTTTTTCTGGTTCTATTCCAGGTCTTCCCTCCATCCCAAGAGGGGAAGGCAGGAGGCAGAGTTTATGCAGTAATTACCTGAGTAGGTTTTTCATGGTTCATTAACAGAAACAAGAGAGGAAAATGCTGTTTATATGACACTCCCTTTGTAATCATCTGCCCTATTGATCCTAAAGGCTGCTGGTCCCTAGAACAGTGGCTCTGAACCAATAGTACATGTCAGAATGAGGGGCTCATTCAAACCAGTCATCCAGGTCCTCACTATCAGATCCAACCAGGGAAAAGGGGGTGCCATCTGGAGCTATTCCCTAAGGACAGAGGCAAGAGCCATGCATCTTCCCCAGCCCCTAAATGGAGCCCAGAAGAGAAGGAGCTCAATAAATGTTTCCTGAATAGATAAGGAATGGCAAGAACTAGTATTTCCAATGAAGAGTATAGATGCTTTGTATCAGTCAGATCTTCCCATACAATACAAGTTCCAGGTTAAGAAAAGAAACCACTGAAGAGCATGAAGCTGAGCTTCTCAGATCCAGCCAGACCTATGAACCACAGGAACCATTAGTTAGAACTTGCGAGCCCTGGGAAGCTGGGCTAAGAGGGGTGACACATGCCATACTCTGGAAGGCCATCTGGCTTCTAATCATTTTCTGAATCTTTGGCTAAACAACTAAAATTTTTAGTCTAACATTTCAATGTGTATGGGTGTGGTGGAATGAGGTCATGCCAAGATGGCCGCTGGCAAGCCAGCTTCAGTTACTCAGGAATGGCTTCGAAACCCGGCTGGCAACGGAGCCTGTCTGGCAACAGGCTGTGATTGGATGGCTTTGGATATTGCCTGGCAATAGGCTGTGATTGGTTAGGGCATAAACCGCCCCTTGACCGGATTGGCTGCCTTGGCTATTTAAGCTGCTATACCAACTGAAATAAACGAGTCTGCAGGCTGCTCACCTCTGGCCTGCTTTGACCCAACTCCCGGGGTCTGTGTGGTGACTCTGCACCTCTTGCCCCCACCATGCTCCTCCTCTCAGAATGAATCCACAGCAACATATGGGTATGTGTGTGTAAGTGTGTACCATGCATGTATTTATTTTCTTCCCACCAAGCTTTCACTTATGAGATATGTCTAGAAAAGAAGCATATATCAAAAACCTACCTGAAGTATCAGACTTAACATGGTAAAATGTTAGAAGCATCCCCATTAACTTCTGAAATAACAGAGACACCTAGTATCACTTCTTTTTGAAGTCTTAACCAAGAAAATGTGATGAAAAGAAAAATAACAGATACTAAATATAAGATTTAAGATATTCCTTAACTGCAAAAAAATCCCCAAATCTGAAAATTGTAAGTAGTGAGAGTGTGAGAGTGTTAAATACCATATCAACAATACAAGAAACAATAGCAACCCTCTACACTTGTAATAACTATTTAGAAAATATGGAAAAAAATAATTTCTTTGTCTTTCTAGGAAGAAACCTGATAGCTGTGCAAAATGAGAAAAACTAAAAATATTATTGAAGGGAGTAAATGAAGATCTGAATACAGAAATATGGCAAGACACTGATTCAGGAAACCCAAAAGATGTGAATTCTTCCTAGAGAACTACAAGTTCAATGAAATGCCAATCAAAATTAGAAACAGTCATCAGAGAAGTTCAATAACTATATTTAACAAAATAGTGTGATAATAGGATAATGAGCCAAACAAGATAAATTGAATCAAATAACAAGTCCAGAAACAGACTCACAGATAAATGAAAAAAAAAAAAAAAAAAAAGAGGGGAGGGTAATTACCAATCAGGGGAAAGGGTAAACCATCAAATAAATGACCTATATGGGAAAATAAAATTGGATCACAGAAAGGTTATTTCAATACAGATGCTGTAATATCACACACACATTCTGAATTAAATTTACCTAAGTTACATACATACATAAAGATAAAAACAAAATTTAAGACTATTAGAAGCTAAAAATATGTATCTTAATAACATGACGTTAGAAGGAACTTCTTTACAGCAAATCACAAAAGGAAAGATTCATAAGTCAAAATGTGAAGTATCTGCTCACTAAAGAACATCAACAAAATCAAAACAACAAGCATACAATGAGAGAACAAACTGTGATATATAAAATTTGTTGACAAAGGATGTGAAGGCCAAATCCATAAAGAATTCTTACAGATCTAAGAAGCAAACCAGTTAAAGTGTAGGCAAAGATTAAGAACAGACAATTCACAGAACACACAATGGCAGTAAACACACGAAGACAACTCCTCTCAAGGAAACAAAAATGAAAACCACAGGCAGAGCTCTTTCCATACCACCATGACAGCAAAGCAGGAGGAAACAAAGCTGAGGGTCTAATACAGACCCAAAGGCAATTATGTCACAGTAAAAACCTGACAGGAACCTACAAACTGTCACTGGGAAATGAATAACAAATTGTGATACAGTCATAAAACAGAATGCTCACAGCAGTTAGAAACGCATGGACCAGGGCTCTGTGTTGTCAGCATGTGGAAATGTCTAAAACAGCAAAAGGCAAAAACACCATCACAGAAAGATGTCTGGCATGATCCCAGCAAGTGAAGTTTTCAAATATGCAAAGTACTACTCTGTGTGATCCAAAGACACTTGCAATATGTAGCAGGGCAATCTGTTAGCATCTATAAACCACAAAAGAAATATTCTGGCATCGGTGTTACATTATTTAAACCCTCTGTGCCTCAGTTTCCTCCTTTGTAAAACGGAAAAAACACCTGTCTTGTAGGGCTGTTGTAAGGATTAAGTACAGTGGCTATGTAACATGTCTGGTGCAGAGAAAGGGCATAACCGCAAGACAAGTTGAAAGCATCTGAGGTGGGTCGGCGCTGTGGCATAACAGGTAAAGCCACCACCTGCAGTGCTGACATCCCCCATGGGTGTCAGTTAAAGTCCTGGCTGCTCCACTTCCAGTCTAGCTCTTTGCTATGGCCTGGGAAGATGGCCCAGGTCCTTGGGCCCCTGCGCCCACGTGGGAGACCCGGAAGAAACTTCTTGCTCCTGCTTCAGATCAGCCCAGTTCTGGCCACTGCAGCCATCTGGGGAGTGAACCAGCAGATGGAAGACATCTCTCTCTCTCTCTCTCTCTCTCTCTGCCTCTCTGCCTCTCTCTGCCTCTCTGTAACTCTGCCTTTCAAATAAATAAATCTTAAAAAAAAAAAAAGCATTTGAGGGTGTGTTATGTCCTACTCCCTCCAACTCCTCTATATTTTGCTTCTCCATGGGAGAAAAGCTGCTTTGAGAATTAAAGACTTCCACCTGTCATATTGCTTTATGTAATAAAAGCAGATACTGAAAGATGATTTAACAAAAGTTCTCAAGCACTTTAAATGTTCCCCTGAAAGGTTTTCATGTAATGACAAACTCCTTGAGCTATCATTGCTTAAAAATCCACTTCCACTCAACCACAGTTTTGATCATCAACTTAGGAATGAGTCATGGCAGAAGTCAGATCTCTCATCGAGGAACATATTTACTAAGAAACTCCAAAACACTACCCCAACCTCAGCTGCACAAGCCTAAAGCAGCCCAAAGCAGCCCAAGGCCAGTGCCCAAGCACCACCCAAGGAGGCGAGCCAAGGCCCAGGTGTACCTGAGTGGGACCTGTAATTCTGGTATAACTGGTGGATCTTCTTAGGCTTCCGGACAGCACAGTGCTTGTCTGTGGTGTTTGTGCTGGCATAGTGGAACAGCGAGCACAGGTCACTGAAGCGGAAGGCCACGCCCTTTATGATGCTCTGGGCTGTGTCTCCAGTGAGAAACATGGCATTGGGGTCATTGATGCATTTCATCAGTAGCACAAGCTCAGCTTGGGTGAAGTCCTGAATCTCATCACCATAGAGTTCATGGATGGACCATGGGAGCACCCTGAGCTTCGACAGCCTGCGGTACAGGTTGTACAGAACATCCTCTTCATCGAAGTAACCTTTCTGGGACCTGATCTGCTGATACAGGCAGAAGAGTTTATAGATCTCGCTGCGGTCTTCCTTGAAATTGGGGGAGCGCTTCCTCCCTAACTTCCTATACGCTTCTTCGGTGAGTCTCCCCTGGGGACAGCTGAGGGCCTCAAAAGAACCTTTCAGAAAAGACTTTATTTCTTTCCAAATCAGTGCAGGGTTGTAGGAGGTTTTCCCCTTGGTCATCTTGGGCCATATCTCATTGGTGAACACCTCAAACGTCACGTACACCCGGGGGTCACCGTCATCTGGCTGTGTTTCTAGAGCTTTGTCCTCCTCGCTGTAGTCCCCATCTGCCTCAGCCTCCTCTTCATCCTCCTGCCAACTTGGGATGAGCAACTCTTCTTGTGTGGACCATCCTGTAATGCTCCTTTTCAGGCTTCCATCTTCGTTTCTCAGAAAAAATGGCTTCGGCAGAGAAGCATCAAGCAGGAGGAGCATCTGTTTAGAGGTCACAAACAGAGGGAAGTTCTCATCCCTCAGGTCCTGGAGCTTGTGCACATGGGGGCCCAGTGGTCTGTAGTGACTGGTGGCTTTGGTAACCTTGGACAGCTCAATGAAATTCCTCTGCACTTCCTGGCACAGGACATGGTTCTTGGTCACAAAGATCTGATGCAAATGCTCCAGCTGACGGGGGTGTCTTGGAGCACATCCTTCCGCTGCTTGGCCACACTCCACACCTGCCCTGCCCGCACAGGCTCCCCTCTCCTGCTCCTCATCTAGAGGATCTGCCGTTTCCATTTCAGTGGAACCTGGCTCTTCCTCACCTTCTTCCTCCTCCTTTTCCTCCCTGCCCAGACCCTCTTTTCCAAGTCCCACCTTCAACTTTCTCTTTGGCCAGATCTGTTTGGTCAGCAGTGGACTTCCTGCCTGCTCGGCTTTTTCCCAGTATATGTGGAATTTCTTCCACAGCCTGTACAAGCAGCAGGTTGTCTTCCCAGTGCCACTCCGCCCAATGAGGATGATGGGCTCCAGCGGCCTGGGGTTGAGGTTGATCACCGAGTACTCCAGCTCCCCCAGGCGGAAGGGGCACTCCACTGGGGCCATCGTGTCATTGAGGATGCTGAAGACTGTGTTGGTGCCGAACCTATGAAACTTCAGGGCATTATACTCTGTCCCCACCACACTGGTCGGGGGAGTGTTCTCAAGATCCACACACACTTTCTCCTGCTCTGTATCCTCCACAAAGCAACGGGGTATATACTTTTGGATTTTCTTGTTCGCTGACACTTGGCCTTTATTGACACCCTTCAGCTTCTTCTGCAGGACACAGGACAAGCCCCGGTTGTAGGCACTGCAGACGGCCTTGATAGAATCAGATAGTTTGCAGTGATCCAAGACGATATCCCAGATGCGGATGATCTCAGTGTAGACCTGTTCCGACTTTCCTATGGTGTATGTGTTGCGCCCCATGGTAATGTTCTTCTCTGGATTATCACTGCGTCGAGGGGAGGAGTCAACAGCAATCTCCCAGAGCATCCGGGCTCCTTTGTCCAGCTTGGCTTCGAACAGCTGGATGCTTCCTTTCAGGTGCTTCAGTCGCTTCTGCAAGCCCTGGGTCCACTCTCCATTCCCCAGCTTCTGGACGGTAAGGATGATTTTCTTCTTTATGACCTTGGTCATTACCTTACTGGACAGTTTCTTCAGCATTTCCGAAGTGCACTCAATATCCCAGGCCATGTTATCAAAGCTCTGGAAGTAGACCTCAATTTCCCGCATGCTCCAGCCTTGGTCAGTCTTGCCCTTCCTCCTTCTGTTACCAACAGGAATGAGCTGTGAGTCCCCAGGGCATGTCTGAGCATGTGCTTCCCCTGCCTTGGGGATGGCAGGACTGTTCTCTTTATAGTCAGAGTTTCCCAGCGTTTGCTGGAGTTTGTCTTTCTTTCTTATTATGCTGGCTTCTTCCTTCTGAGGCTCAGATCTCTGAGGATAGTCCTCTGGGTGGGGCATATCTAATTCAACCTGCTGAATCAAAACTGTGATATCCTGCAGAAGGCAATCTCTTAAAGAGTGTGGTCTGATGGATTCAGGCTTCTGCCTCATCACTAGGGCAGCCGGGAGAGTCTCCCAGCTACCAGGAATCCTATCTTCTTCCGACAGGATTCCAGCAATGGCGTTGCACGGCAATGAACTCTGGATCATGGGTTGACACATATGACCAGAGGCAGTGGGCTGTGAGTAATTACCCGAGAGGGCAGCAGAGTCCTGCCGGCTCTTCCTCTTGCTGTCAGTCACAGCTTTGTTCCAGGCAATTAGCAGAGGGTCATTCTTCTTAATCCGGTGTCGTGCGTCCTTGCCTTCTTTGTTCTTTAGGTTGAAGTTGATGTCAAACTTTGCCAGCAGCTCTATCACTTTTTTCATGCTCTTTGGTGTGCCCTTCTGAAAGAGGATGTGCATCAGGGTGTTCCCATGGCCATCCTGGATGTTGGGGCTGAGGTAGCAAAATTTGGTTGGGTTAGTCCAGAACAGCTCCAACAGGTGCCTGAGGAAGTTAAAACCGATGTCAGCTGAAAGACACAAACACAACCTTGTGAATACTGAGCCACTCTTCAGGGTGCAGCAGATCCTGAGTTTAAGAGAGGTGCCAGCCTAGGATATTTCAGAACACTGAATTCCCCCAAGTATCTGATAGCCATTTAATAACTCGTTGGTTCTCAACCCAGTGTGGTTTGTTTGCCAGATAAAGGCCAGGAACATTGCTAAATATCCTACTATACTCAGAAGAGTGCCTGACAACCAAGAATTATCAGCCTGAATGTCAACAGCAGCTCCAGAAATAATCTTACAATATTTTAGCATGATCCTTACTCAAAGACCCTAGAAAATGTCTAACTAAATGGAAAGTATTTTTGGCTACCAACAGTCAACCATGGAACTGAAGAATCATCAGTCAATCCACCTTGATCATTCACTACAATGGCCACTTCTTTGCATCAGGCTATGCATGAGGGGCCAGGAGAGATGGGTAGGCCTAGCCAAGAAATGGGTCTTTCCTGAACCACTGGTTTTCCCCAAAGGAAAGATCAAAAACCACGGCATCAATCATCAGTTCTTATATCTAACCTCCTCCTCAAGGAAAAGACTGCTTAAAAACTAAGGACTTACCTTTGATTTCTAGAAAGATGTGGAACGCTGCATGCAAAGGAGTGTCACCTTCCAGGAGAGAAATTCCACGGGGGTCTGCACCCTTGCTCAGGAGAAGAAAAGCCAACTCGAAGTCCTCGCACTTCAGGCACATGGGGAGTGGCCTCTCCTGGCCCTCCTGGAGACCCTCAGGCAAGGCTGGGAGAGAAAAGGAGAGAAATGTTACAACCTGTGTGCTACATCCTGCAAGAGGCAGCTCCCAATTCACCTGACAAGGGTGGGACTGAACAGGTGATGCTGACCTGACTTCCAGGATCCTCCTATTACCACTCTCTGGGAAGCAAAGCACCCTCATGGTGAATGCTCCTTTGAGTGCACTTCTGTCCATGGGCCCTCCCCATCTGACCTCTCCAGCTCCTCTTGTCCCACCACAGGACCACTGTTCTCATCATTAGCACTGTCTTGGAGTGAGGACGAGGCAGGAAGACAATGGAAATCCCAAAGCTCGCCTAACACCATAACTGACATAAGGACATGAGCAGATTTCCTGAATCCTTTGCTTCTTCTAAACTTCTACCCTCAGTTGTATTGTCACTTTGCCACCTTCCTTTTAGCACAATCCTCACCCCCCTCTGCACTGCAGGCTCCCTGACTTCCTCCAGAAGGCAGATCACTCCCTGCAGATCTATAGCCTCCTGACCTTTCCTCCAACAGCTGTGCCCTTGCCTCCATGAACTTGGTTCAGCACTTAATCCTGAGAAGTGCTCTCTCAGTACTTGCTGAATCAAGGAATAAAAAATACTTGCAACCACATTTTCCAGGCAATAAATAAGTAAATGAATAACTCTCCATGCAAGGAAGAGGTTTAAAGATATAAAGTGTAGCAGACACTCCAGCTACCTCCTGAAAGCTGCGGGTGGAGCCAATGTCTCACGGCTTTGCACTGCAGATGGCACTTTGATGGCACGGGACTGCATCACTGCTCCGTGTATGGGGCATTTCCCCTTACATGGCAAAGAAAGCAGAAAACAACATAGCCAAGGGACTCTGCATGCATTAACTCATTTACTATTCAAAACAGTTCTAAGAAAGAGGGACTGTTACCACTCCCTTTTTTTTTTTTTTTTTTTTGGACAGGCAGAGTGGACAGTGAGAGAGAGAGAGAGAAAGGTCTTCCTTTTGCCGTTGGTTCACCCTCCAATGGCCACGGTGGCTGGTGCGCTGCGGCCGGCGCACCGCACTGATCGATGGCAGGAGCCAGGTGCTTTTTCCTGGTCTCCCATGGGGTGCAGGGCCCAAGCACCTGGGCCATCCTCCACTGCACTCCCGGGCCACAGCAGAGAGCTGGCCTGGAAGAGGAGCAACCGGGGCTAGAACCCGGTGCTCCGACCGGGACTAGAATGCGGGGTTTTGGCGCCGCAGGCAGAGGATTAGACTAGTGAGCCACGGCGCCGGCTACCACTCCCATTTTAAAATGAGGAGATGAAGTACAAATAGCATGCTAAAGGCCACTTGGTCAGTAGTGCATTAGTAGGGGTGTTGAGGGATGGAGGTGGGAGAAAGTTAGCATGTCTAACTTAGTTTTGTTTTTGTTTTTATTTTTTGACAGGCAGAGTGGACAGTGAAAGAGAGAGACAGAGAGAAAGGTCTTCCTTTTGCCGTTGGTTCACCCTCCAATGGCCGCCGTGGCTGGCACGCTGCAGCCGGCGCACCACGCTGATCCAATGGCAGGAGCCAGGTGCTTCTCCTGGTCTCCCATGGGGTGCAGGGCCCAAGCACCTGGGCCATCCTCCACTGCACTCCCTGGCCACAGCAGAGAGCTGGCCTGGAAGAGGGGCAACCGGGACAGAATCCGGCGCCCCGACCGGGACTAGAACCCGGTGTGCCGGCGCCGCAAGGTGGAGGATTAGCCTAGTGAGCCGCGGCGCCAGCTTAACTTAGTTTTAAAATAAAACTCAATCCAGCAATTGTCTGCACACTCTAGACACACACCCAGGCATGTGTGATTATTCTGATTAAAGCAGCAGATGTTTCCACCCACCAATTACTTTGCTGTTTCTTTAAAAACAAGCATCTCAAATCCCAACCAAATGATTCTAAAAGAATGTCACAAGAGTTGACAAGGATCCACATAGAGTATCTGTTGCAGGGAGAAGTCTGGCTAAACGTCGGGAGGAAGTGACTGCTTTGCACTAAACCCAACCCAACGACCTTCCTCATAGCTGATGTTGTTCACAAAAGAGAAAGAGAACAGTGGAACCTCTAATTCACAAAACTGTACAGCTCCTATAGGATTACTGAGTCCCAGGGTGTGACATCTATCACCGCTTCAAACAGGAATGAGAGAATGAGGAGTAAGAATGAGGCAGAATTTTATGATGTTTCCTAAAGCAAGGAGAAGAGTCTGTCCCCGCCATCTGAAAACTTGGATGACTCTCCACTGCTTGAGTCCAGCAGTCTCACCTCCGTTGTCTATCAGGCAGCCCAGGAGCTGTGTCTTCCGCTGGTCCCAGGCGCTGAGGTGGGGGATGATGGTACAGATGTCGAGGTCTGAGAAGTTGTAGTCTTTGATGAAGCAATCTCCAAGAGGCAGCTCCCCAGTGACTTGGCGGGTCAGCAACCGAAGCACTTCAGGCCACTTCTGTTTTTCCAGCAAGAATTTGATGAAGCTGTTGGCACAGTCTTGATTGATGTCACAGACCAGGTCAGGAGGGATTTCTTTCAAAACAGAAGAATAAACCATAAGCCCAAAGAGATCCGTGTGATTTTTCCTCTTTCCCCAACTACAACTCAACATGTATATACTGCTGCATTACTCAGCAGTATTTTTAGGCCTACTGCAGAGATAATTACTTTGAGCCCATTACTTTAACTGCTGGTGAACATCAGTGTAAGTACCGACAGTGTGGGCTTCCTACGGGGAGTTCAGTGTCTGGTCCAGGAGACAGCACAATGATGACTGTCTCTTAGGGCAGAATACTCAAGGGCAAAAGTTTGACTTAAATTCTGTAGGGGCTGTAGTTGTGGCATCCCATATGGGTGCCAGTTCATGTTCCAGCTGCTCCACTTCTGATCCAGCTCCCTGCTAATGGCCTGGGAAGGGCAGCAGAGGAAGGCCTGAGTGTTTGGGCTCTTGCTACCCACATGGGAGACCCAGATGAAGTTCGTGCCTCCTGACTTCAGTCTGGCCCAGAGTTGGCTATGGCCACCTGGGGAGTGAACCAGCAGATGGAAGATATCTCTCTCTCTCTCTCTCTCTCTCTCTCCCCCTCTCTCCCTCTCTCTTTCCCTTTCTCTGTAACTCTGACGTTCAAAATAAATCTTTAAAAATAAGAAGAAACACTATAATATAGAAGAAACTATGGAACAATTACAAAGCTAAGAGTTGTGAGGTAATAGTAATTTGATGGTTTATTTATTTATTTTTTTGACAGGCAGAGTTAGACAGCAAGAGAGAGAGACAGAGAGATAGGTCTTCCTTTTCCGTTGGTTCACCCCCTAAATGGCTGTTACGGCCAGCGCACTGTGCCGATCCGAAGCCAGGAGCCAGGTGCTTCCTCCTGAACTCCCATGCAGGTGCAGGGCCCAAGCACTTGGGCCATCCTCCACTGCCCTCCCGGGCCACAGCAGAGAGCTGGACTGGAAGAGGGGCAACCGGGACAGAATCCAGCACCCATATGAGATGCCAGCACCGCAGGAGGAGGATTAACCAAGTGAGCCAGGGCACTGACCCAATGGTGTATTTCCTTTTTTTTTTTTTTTAAGTGCATGCAGCAATCATATGCCAATTTTTTTTTTAAAGATTTATTTATTTGAAAGTCAGAGTTACACAGAGAGTGAGGAGAGAGGGAGAGAGGGAGAGAGGGAGAGAGGGAGAGGAAGAGGTCTTCCATATGCTGGTTCACTCCCCAATTGGCCGCAATGGCCGGAGCTGCACCCATCCGAAGCCAAGAGCCAGGAGCCTCCTATGGTCTTGCCATTGGAAGCAGAGCGCCCAAGGTTTGACTGTTTTCCACTGCTTTCCCAGGCCATGTCAGAGAGCTGTTTCCCAGGTGAAGCAGCTGGCCCTCGTCCCGTAGCCCATATGGGATGCTGGTACTGCAGGCAGCTGCTTTACCTGCTACACCACAGCGCTGGCCCCATATTTCTTACTTCTTAACTGTGTGTTATGATATGCACACAAAAGTGTTTTCATCTGATCTTGATGTCTGCAGACAGCATATTGATTATCCCATTTCAAACTGCTGGCGAATCTTAAAGGTAAAAGAATTCAAAGCAGGGGCTGGCATTGTAGCTCAGTGGATTAAGCCACAGCCTGTTACACCGGCATCCCACATGGGTGTCTGCTTGAGTCCCACTTCCAGTCTAGGTTCCTGCTAATACACCTGGGAATGCAGCAGAAGTTTGCCCACGTGCTTGGGATTCCTCCAGAAAAGGAGATCCTCAGTAAGTATGCTGCCAGATTTATCAAATAAAAATATAGTATGCCAGTTAAAATTTGAATTTCAAATGAATAACAAATAAATTGCTAGTGTATCTCATACAACATTTGGGACATACTTATACTAAAATATTCATTATTTGTTTGAAATTCAAACTCAACTACACATTCCATATTGTTTGGCAACTACTAGTAAGAAAGCAAAGAGGGGGCTGGCACTGTAGCTCAATGGGTTAAAGTTTTTTGTTTTTTAAATTTGTATTTATTTATTTGAAAGGCAGAGTTACATAGTGAGAAGGAAAGACAGAGATTTTCTATCTTCTGGTTTACTCCCCAAAAGGCTACAAAAGCCTGAGCTGGCCAGGTTAAAGCCAGTAGCCTAGAATTACAACTGGGTCTCCCACATGGATGTCAAGGGCCCAAGAACGAAAGCCAGCTTCCACTGCTTTCCCAGGCACATTAGCAAGAAGCTGGATTAAAAGCAGTGTGGCTGGCACTCATATAGGATGTGGGTGTCCCAGGCTTACTCCACTATGCCACACCACCAGCCCTCAGTCTGGCATTTCCAGTATGAAAATCAAAAAATTCACTTTTTGGGGGCAAATAATACAATTTGAGTCTGTCTTCCAATACACAGAGTTTTAAATATTCTATGCTATGTCAAATTAAAGACACGAAGAGGAAAGATAGAGGAAAAGAGAAAAGTCAAGAGAGTTGGATGAACTAGAGACCCACCCAACTTTGGAAAAAAGCTGGGGGAAGATCTTCTGGAAAGACAGCAATCAGTAAGAATAAGGAAGAAAAGGGAAAGTAACTAGCCAAAGGAAGAGAAAAGGGCTCCACACCAACACACACAGTTTCCCACAGAGAAAGTGAGATAAAACAGACCATTCTCACTTTGGGATCTTTTATCAGATGGTCACCAAACAACAGTAAGTCAGGCTTTATTCTCACAACCCTAAGGATAAATGAGAATAGCATTTGCACATTGTGGGTCACATGTCATAAAGCCCAAAAATTAAATGCCATTTGTACAGAATAACTACATCTAACAGATCCCACCCAAGGCGGCACTATCATAGAGTTTTAGGTGTGTCTCTTTCTTTGACACACTCATACCCAAAAAGACTGATTGATCCTTTTTTAAAAAAACTAATTTACTTTATTTATTTGAAAGACAGAGAGACAGAAAACTCCCATCTAACATTTCACTCCCCAACTGCCTGCACCCAAGCAAAGCCAAGAACCTAGAACTAAATTTAGGTCTCCTATATAGGTAGCAGGAGCCCAAGTACTTGAACTATCACCTGCTGCTTCCCAGGGTGTGCATCAGCAGGAAGCTTAAATTGGAAGCAGACAGGATTCAATTCCAGGCATCTTGATGTGAGAGCCAAGTGTACTAAGCAGTGTCTTAATCCCCAAATGCCGGCCCCCAGACCATTCTGACAGCCCCACTGCATCTCAACCCACCCTAGTAGCTAACAGATACTACTATGCACAGGGTACTGGACTAAGTGCCCAAAATCTACCACATCAATAGGTTAGCTCAACAGAAGGCAGGAATGAAGAAAGTGAAATTTAAAGAGGTTAAGTAACTGGCCGAAGTCACAGATCTGGTAAATAGCAGAGCTAAGACTGCACACCTTAAAGCACTATGTTCTGCTGCATAAACTAGACAGCATTTTTGGCTCCTCTGGCCATCCATTCCTGCATTCTATATAAAACTGAGACATCCCAACCTTACAAAATGTCCATTTTAAAAATGCTAAATTTCATCCACTTAGGATTTCTGGCTTCTTCCCTAATTATCTAAAGCTTGCCATCTAAATTTCTTTTCTAGAAATTTTTTATTATAAATACAAATATTGAATTCTACAATAATTTTACACTCCCACATTAGCCAATAACTACAGAAGAGAAAAGGTGCTGCAGTATTTAAAAAGTAGTTGACTATTTAAGGTTATACATTAAAAACCAGTAAGTAACACAGCTTGCCTTTGGGGATGGGATTCAGGGATTGAGTTCAAGGGTACATGAAAACGTTCTGCACTATCTTAAATGTTTTACATGTATATGTTTTATATTATTTTAAAAATTATTTTTAAAGATATAAGAAAATAGCATTAATGGGCCAGCGCCACAGCTCACTAGGCTAATCCTCTGCCTGTGGCACTGGCATCCTGGGTTCTAGTCCCACTCAGGGCGCCAGATTCTCTCCCGGTTGCTCCTCTTCCAGTCCAGTTCTCTGCTGTGGCCCGGGAAGGCAGTGGAGGATGGCCCAGGTGCTTGAGCCCTGCACCCACATGGGGGACCAGGAGGAAGCGCCTGGCTCCTGGCTTCGGATCGGCGCAGCACGCTGGCCACAGCGGCCATTTGGGGGGTGAACCCCCCCCCAAAAAGAAAATGGTATTAATGAACATAAATCATCTTCAATACAAATGAATTTTGTGGGGGGGAAATTACTTTGCAGAGAAGAAAGTAGGCATAAGAATCTCTGAACTTTTTTTTTTTTTTTTTTTGACAGGCAGAGTCAGACAGTGAGAGAGAGAGACAGAGAGAGAAGTCTTCCTTCCGTTGGTTCACTCCCCAAATGGCCGCCACAGCTGGCACACTGCGCTAATCCAAAGCCAGGAGCCAGGTGCTTCCTCCTGGTCTCCCATGCGGGTGCAGGACCCAAGCACTTGGGCCATCCTCCACTGCCTTCCCCGGGCCACAGCAGAGAGCTGGACTGGAAGAGGGGCAACCGAGACAGAACTGGCGCCCCAACTGGGACTAGATCCCGGGGTGCCGGCACCGCAGGCGGAGAATTAGCCAAGTGAGCCACAGCACTGGCCTCTGAACTATTTCTTGCTTCAGAATGTTTTTATGCAATAACCATTCTGAGTTCATGTACTTCACCAGCTGCTCGGAGGTCTTCTGGAAAATGTCACTGTCACTAGTGAGACCATGAGCATTGCTAAATCCTGCAAAACACCACCAAGTGATACTTCTGAATACAGAGATTACAGCTGCGCTAGACTGCAAGAATAACCACAAGGCGTTGCCCATCTGTGTATCCATATGCTTTGTAATGTAACTCTGAAACTCATCCCATCAGGAAGTAGGGTCCATTTCTCCGCCTGCCTTCCTAACTTGTCATGACCAAGCAGAATGGAGTGCATCTACTTCTTGTACCAGTTATGAAGTTTATACACTTCTGGTGGCTCTCGTGGGATCCTGGCCCAAGAACAAGTCTAAGCCAGTCTGCTGAGAGATAAAAGTCAATACAGGGCCGGCG